ACAACCTGGGTGTTGAGAAGTTGCTGACAAGGGAGATTTCAAGTTTGCCCATTAAACAACTTTTCAGTGTTCTGGAGCTTGATTAGCCTCGGGAGGGAAGAGTGAAAGTTTTCTTTCGCTTTTCCATGATAACATCCCTAGTGTGCCTCTGAACTTGTACAAATTGTTCCTCAGTGAATAGCTATCCTCTGAGACAACAAATAAGGGAGAGATGGAAGGAAGCAGAGAGAATTAGCGATGCGGAGACTGCTGGACTCCCCGCAACACTAGCGTTTCTGGACTTTTTCCTATGCTTTCTCTGTGTGGACAGTGTTCCACACTAAGAGTGGAGAAGGGAGCAGCTGCCCCTGTCTCCTAAGCAAGCTCTGTACTAGCCAGGCAAGTGACAGCCTGGGTTGATCCCTGGAGACCAGTGGACCATTCTGGGCCTGTCCCCTTCTCTGGATGTGAGTGTCTTCCAGGGTTCCTCTCTGTGAAATAGGGATTAAGAAAATATCCTGAGCTTGGCTGTCTTCTAGAACAAGGTTAGCTAGGACCTGAGAAGTGGACCAGGGGATCTGCAGAATACATAAGCTTTACGTCCAGGCCTCCCTCCACAGCACAGAGCAGATTAATCCTTTTTCTACCCAGTGCTGGTGATAGGCAAAGCTCTCTGCCTTTATCTAAGAGCCTGCCTTCTTGTTTTTCCCTATTTCTTCCTCATAGCTACCTGCCATTTTTAAGGGAATCTCCAGGAAAAGAGACAGCGGTTTGGGAAATGCTTTAGAGAAGGGTGAGCTGGTAAGGTTGAGTAGTTTTAGTTCATTCGTTGAATTTTTCTTTAATCTATTCATTTCATGTTTATTTAATTTCTAGAGTGCTTATATTCTTGGTCTCTATTCTTGGCACTGGTGATACAAGAAATATAAATTTAAAAAGAAAAAGAGAGTACCTACCCTTGAGATAATTAATTAAATGCAGGATTTTGATGATGAATTAATAAACAAGTAAAAGTATAAAATGACTTGAGATATTCATGAGAGCCAATAGTGAGAAAAATACAACCACATAAAGGTTAGAGGGTGAAGGTCTGTATGTGTTGTTTTAGACAGGGTAGTGGGAAAGGGCCCACGAACAGGAGACATTTGAGCATGGACCCAAGTGTGGTAAGTGAAGGAGCCCAGGCATCCTTAGGAGCTCAGTGTGATCTATTTTGGTGTGTCCTGACACTTTTCCTTACCCCAGAACTCTGAAAAAAATAGGCGGTCCTAGAGGAGCGGGTCTGCTCTGTGAATTTTCCAAACTGTTTCTATGGGATTGAGACGATGGCAGATTGTGTACAGAGACAGACTGCCCCTCTGGAGGTCTTTTCTTTCTACTGGAACAAGGGTGTTGAGAACTGGGGAATGTAGAGGAGATGCTGCCTTTAAACCACAGCTGTTTTCTTGTCTCCTGGCCCCAGGGTGGAGACTGTGCAGGACAGATGGGAGTTGGACATTAAAGTTCCAGCCTCTTCACTCCTTTTGGGCTTTTCCTCTCCTGTGTCATCTGGTGACAAAAAGAATCAAAATCTCAGAGCTAGGGGTCACTAACTGAGAGCTAGTCAGACTCTCCCTGCATGGAGGAAGACACATTCACTGAGATGGGGGGTGGGCTTTCATCACAAAAATAAAGAGGAAGAATTGGATAATGTACTCCAGGGAGCAGGCTCCTACAAGTCAGAGAAAGACTTAATGCTCTTACCTTAATAGCTCTTACCTCATGACAATGTCTTGGATAGACTCCACTTCCCAACAAAATCCCCAAAATGATAAATAGAACTAAAGTAAAAACTTT